CTCCCGATCGTGACAACGAATATAGGCATGAAAACAGATTAACCAGTCCATACCGAGAATAAGGTCAAAATCCCTCATCTCAATAAAATATGCGTCGGCATTTGAAATTTGGCCACCGACGGAAAGGCTGAGATTCTCGACTTTTGAATTCGTCACTATCTTCCTTCCTGAGGATAAACTTACCTCAAGAGGGTCGACAGTGCTGACTGAATGAACTCTAATAGCATCCAAACATCGGGTTGATACGAATGAATGAGTTGCCCCGGTGTCGAATAAAGCAAAAACAGGAACATCATTTAGAACAATCATCCCAGACATAGTACCTGGGTGCTGCTCTGCTTCAGCCTGCTCCACGGCATAGACATGGGCCTGCTGTCTCGCTCACTGCTGCTGCTGGGGATGTCTTGGAAGTTGCTGTCTGGGCAGCTGTTGCGGTTGCGGCTGCGGCTGCTGCTGCGGCTGCTCCTGTCGGTCTGGGCAGAAACGAAGGGCATGTCCGGGCCTTCAGCAATGGTAACAAAAGTTCTGACCCATAAGACACTCTCCGCGATGACGATGTCCGCATGTACAATAAAGTGGGGTCTGCTGCCGGTTAGCTGGATCGGGTTGCCTCTGACGGTTCCTACGAACGTTCTGGGGTCCTATCCACTTCCTCTTTCCCTTGTTCCTCGCCTGTTGGGAAGCTACTGGTTGTGTTGGTAGCACTGTTAATGGTTGACCAACTGGCTGCACCGGGTACTGACTAGCCTCCCTCCAGATACTCGCGTCTACCTCCTGGGCTTTAGCAACGGTGTCGGCATAGGTCTGGATGTCGTGCCCAACTACATTGTGACGTACCATTAGTAGAAGTCTGTCAAGAAAACAACTCAATCTATTTTCCTCCGTATCCACTAGATCGGGAACAAATAATCCGAGTCGAGTAAACTCACGTTCATACTCGTCCACTGAACGAGCACCCTGTTTAAGTGCCAGGAACAGACGCTCCATCTCAACTTGATAGTACGCAGGATAATACTTTTCGCGTATCAGTTCCTTGAACTGATCCCATGTACAACTCTCCTTCTCACCGGGTGTAACGTCCGGTTTTATTTTAAAGAGTATACCGAATTTATTTATAAAAATCAGAGTAAATTTTTCGCAAGATTCCAATTTAAAACTTTAATCATAAACAAGCGCTACTTAACTACTAACAAAAATAAACAATTAAGCATAACATAAAGGACCTATACATGCGAACTAACATTTAAAAAAAATAACAATCCAGAAATCATAAATTTTAAATCCAAGCCAAAGGTTCAACATGATTCACAATAAACAAAGCAGAAGCATCAAAATGAATATCCAACATAGATAGATAAAATGGAAACAAAAAGACTCGACAATCGAATGACCACCACTTCCTCGTCTGTCGCTGCCGCCGCCAACATTGTTCAACCTAAAGATAGAAAGAGGAAACAATAGGACAAATAACAAAGGGGGTGAGCAAAACCACTATGCTCACCACCACCGCACAGTATATTTTGCATAAAGAATCTAAAACCATAATTAAAGTATGCATAGAATCCAAGTTCTAACTCCCTATATGGCCCTATCGCAAGCCTCCTATGTAACACCCCGCTGACTGATATACCAGAGTACGCGGTTTTTCGCAAATATTCTGAATAAATAAGTAAATAAACTAACTTTTTAAATTTTTGCGAGACTGA